ATTATATTTTAGTTTATTTTACTTTATTTTAAGTAAAGAGCAATGAGTCAGTTACAAAGTTACTGGAGTGAAAATTAAGCCTGCATTACAAGTAGAGTGATGTAAAGGTGTAATTAAGTCTTATGTGGTATTAAAAAAAAAACAATCCAGGGAAAAGGGACTAGTTTGCAGAGCACACAGGCGTTCTTGGGAAGCGCAGGAAGAGATTGGAGGGCAACAGAATAGATGGCCTTGTGCTTGCTGTTCACTCGTTATCTGCCTAAACGTAGATACTCTGTACAAGATTCAAAGTCCATTGAACTAAAAGGTCTCTTTAATAGACTTTGAATCAAGCCTGAGTTGTACTAGGTTGGAACAAAAACTTCAGGTATGTATGTAGTTTAAGGAGACTATTTCAAACTCTGAATGGTGAATGAAAGGGAAGAGTGACAGTTCTTAGCATTTATTATTGGAGAATATGAACTCACGCTTAGCATCCTGTACTACACAGGGTTGCAAGATGATTCCTCCAGATGATGCATGCAATGTGAATGAGGGGTACTTTTTTGCTCTGCAGTTGTCCAGAGACAGACAGTGTTCCTAGTTACAACACAGTTAACTCCATCCCTATGTTGTCAATGGAGCTGTCTCCAGTGCCTTTCACTTAGTTAAGGAATGACTTTGCCCTCCAGCTTTTATCTGCTACCATCTTAATTGTAGAAGTGCCTGTCATCAAGATGAAGAGGCAACAACTGTCCTCTGAAAGCACTACAGTGGACGTACAGCTTACCGCAAGAGCTCACCAGTAGTATCATCATTGACAAAAATCAGAACTATGTGCTCTAAAGATCTTCAAGAGGAACTAGAGCAAAACTGCACTGGTGTCTGTTAGACTAGACCAGACCTAAAAGCATAGCCTCCGTGTGACCAAAACAGGATTACCATCTCTGCTGACCATTGAGAAAGAGTATTTTGAGACAACAGCACTGAGCTCCCAAAACATTCAAAAGAGGAGAAGAGGAGAAAACACCCAACAGCTACCTTACCTAAAACATTACTGTAGTACCCATCCCATTCGTCTCGCCAAATCTTCAAGAAAAAAAAATCCATGGAAAAGTAAAAGAAGAAGTTCTGTAGTCTTTCCACAAAGGACATCTGGTCTGTCAGCCCCCTTGTGCTAGCAGGCACATAAGAAGGTGGGGACGGGAGTCCACCGCACAGCCGTTCTACCACATTCCCATGAGAGAAGCGGAAGCTGTAGACAAAAGGGATTGCTAGGATTTCTGCTACAAGCTCCCCACCTACAGACAGGGGGTCAGCGATCAGAACATCAAACTTGGCCTGCTGCAGCTTTGCTATCAGCTGAGGGTTCATCACCAAGGCGTCACAGGTCTGCTTTGACATATTGGTAAAGACCTCCACTTCCTCTTTCATCCTCCACATGATCTCCCAGGGGAAGAGATTAGGGACCTCATTCATCAAGAAATTGAAGAGCTTCTCCATGATAGCATGCAGGGCCTTCTGAGTAAAGGGGACTTGCAGGACCTCAAAGGTGAAGGGGGAGGAGGTGTCTCGGTAGTTGATGAGCAGATTGCTTGAGGGCACCAGCACAGTCACTTCATGACCCCGGAGAACAAGCTCTTCCAGCAGCACTTTCACATTGATCCAGTGACTTGCATCGGTGGGCCAGACCACCACCTTCCCACAAAAGCCAGCGCTCCAGCAGCATGCATAGGCCCAGAGCAGCCAGGGGAACCTTGGTCTCATCATCTCAGCAGTCCATGTACAGCTCTGGTTTGACTGAGCTGGAAGCAGTTCACTGCTCCAGTGTGCAAACACATCCGAGCCAGCCAATAAAAGTGAGATCCACTTGGTGCCAAGCTTGGTAAGAGGGCGTGTCAGAACACAAAACGACACTCATGGGAGGACTGGACAAGCAGCAAATCCCATTCTGGAGTCTCCTGCAGAGCCACAGCTGATCTTGAAATGACAGCAACTCCTGTTTCTGCTCACCACAAAGTGCATTTTTCAGCATGTGAGGAGCAGAAGCCCTTCCCTGTGTTGTGGTTTAATCTTGATATGCAGCTAAGCACCACAGAGCCTCTCACTCCCCCACAGGAGGAGGGGAAAAGAATCGGAAGGGCAAAAGTTAGAAAACTCATGGGTTGAGATAGAGACAGCTTAATAAGCAAAAACCAAAAATAAAACCCAGAAAAACAAGTAATGTAAAAAGAACAGTTGATCACCACCAGCCAACCAATGCCCAGCCAGTCCCTGAGCAACAGCAGCCCTGGCAAGCTTCCCACCCCCGCAGCTTTTTTTGCTGAGCACGACATCACATGGTATGGGATATCCCTTTGGTCAGCTGGGGTCAGCTGTCCCAGCTGTGTCCCCTCCCAACTTCTTGTGCACCCCCAGCCTACTCGCTGGTGGGGTGGGGTGAGAAGCAGAAAAGGCCTTGACTCTGTGTAAGCACTGCTCAGCAACAATGAAAACATCTCTGTGTTATCAACACTCTTTTCAGCACAAATCCAAAACAGAGCCTCATACGAGCTACTACAAAGAAAATTAACTCTATCCAGCCAAAGTCAGTATACCCTCATACCAGATCTTCAAGGTGAAGACACACATTCCTGTACCAAGCAGCTCAGGCTAGGGAAAGCACATGAGCAGCCCATGAGACTTTCTTGACAGCTACAAGATGAACCAGATCTTATCACTTGACTATAGCCTAGATTTGCTTCTTTGCCCTGTAAGAACCAACCTATCTGGTTGCAATTGTAACCTAGCTGGTTACAATTTTTATCTCCTCATTTACTAGGTGCAAAATGTCCTGCAGTGATTCACAACTAGCACAGGGTGCTCTAATTCTGTCCTCTCTATAACCAGATGCTGTGGGGACACAGCACTGCCCCTGGAAGGACATAGTCCTGGTAGAGATGACTGCAGCATCAGGCCACCCCAGGAGAGAAACAGGAGGAGGTGAGGAGCACAGGTTTTGCTCACCTTGCTGCTTCTGTGCCTTCTCTTGGGAAGATGCTGCAAACTGGTATCTGTGTATCCATATCACAGATACAGTCCAGGACAGATACAGTCAAGACACCTGACTTCCCCTCTTGACTGTATCCTGCAGATGCAGTGGAGATGCTGGGTGCTACTGATGCATTCAGGGAAGAAGGCAGATGCTCTCTCCTGAGCAGAGGGCGAATGAGGCTCAGGCTGAGTCTAAACAGAGCCTGAGCACTCTTCCTGGAGCTCAGCACCACCACATGAGCTCCCCTCACTAGACTGACAGTGGAGCAAGCAGTCTTTCATCATGCTTCAACCTCATCACTTGAAAAAGCCTTTAGGTAGCTCTAGGAAGGCAGCTAGAATAATAAGAACCCTGGAGAAGATGTTCCAAGGAGAAAGAGCAGGTGCATGCATACACTGCAGGAGCTGGGACATTGCCCCATTTCTGTGAGATGCTTGCCCCTTCCTTTCACACCTCCTTCAGGACTGGATACACTGCACATCAAAGCATATCACAGTGAGGATAGAGAACAGCTAAGCTAACACAGCTAACAAAACACATATTGCACAGGGAGCTTTTAAATGCTAAACCCCACATTTAACAATAGAAAAGACAACACAAGATCCAAGCAGCTCTGAGGCTTACACAACAGGAGATCAGCAAACCATGCTTCTGCCAGCACAAGATTTTCCAGTCTCTGTCAAACATTATAAGCAACACAAGTAAACACACAGCTAGGTACTCTAATAGTAGGATATCTTAATAACTTAGCTCTCGTAGCAGAATTATACCCTACTAGTGAAATACAAATAAAAACACTTAGAGTCTCATATTGAAATAATATCCATTTTATCTGCCCACCAACAAAGCATGTATGTTTGCCCTGTTTCCTTTTAAGCATTACAATAATCACTCAGAGCAAAAATGTGAAAATAATTATGCAACTATTATTTAAAAAAGAAAAAAAATTATAAATAAATACAACTATCTTCTAATATTTCTTTTAGACACTTTCAGAAAAGCAAAGAACCCTGTCTCTGCTGAGGGCCTTTTATCACTGCAAATTGGGGCTCAGCTACTCTCCCAAGCCTTTAAAAGACCAGAGGAGGCCATTCTCTCTCATTTCAAGATAAGCTAGCGAACAAGAAGGGTGCTAGGGGATTGCTGTATAGCCTTCCAAAACCATTTTTTATTTCTACTTCAAAAGGTTTAATTCAGTAGTATATTTGGTGGGTGTATAGTATTATTTTGCTGTTCTTAGTGTTTGTCATGATTCATCTATGAATATGACTGATGAGCTCTGTTTCAAGTGGCTTTAGCACTGTTTTACCTATCCTAGAAGTACCTGTACGGACTTAGCTGTACTAGTGTAGCAGGTCAGGATTAACAGGTAACATTTGTACTTGCCCGGATTGTTTGACTTGACAAAGGAATTTTGGAGGAAGGAGAGTGAGTTCAGGGCTGTCTTGCTCCTAATTTGTGCCTTAACCTCTAAGCTCTGGGTATTTACTCTTGTGTGTACAGCAGATGTAATTTCTGGAAGTAAGAGCAGCCTTACCTAAAACATCACTGTAGTATTGATCCCAACTTCCCCAGAGAAGGTAATGATATATGATATCCTGCATAGTGTAGGTGAAGATGTTTTTTAGCCTTTCCAGGAAGGACATCCTATCTGTTAGGCAGCTTAGAGTGGCTGGTATGTAGGAAGGAGGTGGTGGGAGTGTCCCACAGAGCCGCTCCACTGTCTTGCCTATGGAGAACCGGATGGTATACATGAAGGGCATACCCAGCTTCTCAGCAAACAGCTCCCCACTTGGGTGCTAATGGGTCTGCCAAAACAACATCGAAGGTGGATGCCCTCAGCCTCTCCAGCAGTGCCTCATTCTTCAGGACTTCACAAATTATTTTGGTTACATTCTCCAGCTTGTACACCAGTTGAGCTATCGTGTAAAGACTTTCTTGTAAAGACAGGTAGCACTCTCTGCTGGTAAAACCAAAAATAGAAAGCTTCTTCCAGTAAGGTAGCCATCTCCTTTTTGGTCATCGGCACCTCAACCACCTCAGACTGGAAGGGTGAGGGCTGTGTGGGGTTGAGGATGAGGAAGCACAAAGGCAGGAGCACCGTCACCTTGTGGCCCTGGGCCACAAGCTCCTGGAGTATGTACTCCATGTTCAGCCAGTAGCTGTTGTCAGCCGGCCAGACCAACACCTTCCCCCCGAGCCCCCAGCCCAACACAGCCAGCAGCCACAGCACTGCCACCTCCTTCCCAGCCATAGCCTGCCCTGTGTGGCAATGCCCCCGTGGCCTTCCTTCACCCGGAGCAGCAGTGCTCCCAAGCTGGGCTGGCCATGCGTGACACTGCCTTGCTCTGGAAGGCAGGGAACCAAGGTAGCTGGCATGAAATCCTGTCCTGGATAATGGCATGTTTTCCTGCGGAAAAAGGTGACGGGGACCAGCTGGCACCATCTGGTGGTAAATAGCTTGCTGAAGCTGGACGATGTGCTTCCTCCGGAGCAGCGGGGAGAGCTGTCAGCCCTGGGGGGCTCAGTCCAGCGAGGACTGTGTCCTGTTGGTCATCCTGGCCCTCCTGCCTGTCCAACTACAGTCTCTATGTTATTTATTTGGTAGGTGATCTTTTCATTCTTCTGGCTCTTTGAAGTGCAGCTGGGTATGCAGCGAAGATGTTCACCCACTGTGTGGGCACCCCTTCGCTTTATAAAGCCACTGAGCGTCCGTTTACAGTGCACTTAAGGTGGTGATCCAGGGCTGCAGCTAAAGAGTTGCATCTTGAAGTGGCTGAAACTACACAGCAAGTGACTCCAGTATCAGATTAAGACTGTCCTCATGTGAACTTGCTTCTTCCAGAGCATGCATCGCAGGAGGTAGGTGATAGTGTGGGCTGTCCTGCCTGCCACTAGGTGCCAATTATGCACTATAAGTTGAACCAGAAAATCTGTTAAAGTTTTATTTATGGTCACCCTTCTAATGTGCAGTTAAGAAATAATGTAAGTCCTCTTCACTGTGCTAAAAATCATCATTACTGGGCTTCTGCCCAGCTCTGTTAGCAATGTTTTCCTAATGTTGTTGTGCAAGACTTCTGCTACGGCTTCCGTGCTGCCTAGAGCATCCTTTCCAGGATGAAAATGGGGGTGATGGAAGCAGTTGGGCTGTGAGAAACCAAGCTGAGATACCTCATCTGCTGTGCACATGACAACAGTTCGGTTGGAGTCCTGCAGCACGCAGGTATTTGCAGGCAATTGAACCCTGAGAGATTTGCAAGTGCTCTTTTTCATGAGCTCAATGTGAGGTTAGTAAAAATGGCATATTGATCACATGTGATTAATACTTAAATAAACATATTTTTCTACACATTCACTCAAAACAGTCCAGAACAAAAGCCTGCAGAAGAAGACTTGTTGCTTTCACTGTTTGCTTGTGGGTGGAGAGTGTGTTTTAAATAAAACTTGTTTTGTGCAGAGAGGATTGGTTTTATATGACCGGTGACATAAGTGAAGTCTCTATTACAAAGCCACAATGCATTTCAATATTGCTACTGAGGGTGGCAGGGTTGGCTCGTAACTCACCATCTCCCCCCTCCTTGTTATGATACTCTGGATTAAGAAAACAGCACTGTTCCTAGCTGCTTTCTGTGCAAGCAGTCATTGGAGGGGGAAATGTGTAAGCTGAGCTCCCTTGCGGAGGGCCCTATATGGTGTGGAAGTTGTTTCAACCTCCACATTAAAAATAGTTATGGTAAAAGTCAAATCCATCAATTGGGATGAGCACCAATCCCTGTCTCAATGCAATGGCATAGCAGCACAGTGCCCTGACAGGGGAGTGGGTGCAACTGATGGACACTGGTGGCTCATTCCCTTTTCCACATAGGGACTTAATGACAAATTTCTTGCTGACCTCTCTCAGACCTTGACTTTGCCACCCTGCCAGGTTCCTAGCTCCGCAAGGTCGTAAGGCGGGAGACTGTGTGATGAGAAGGGAAGTAGCAGAAGGCTTACCTAAGACCTTGCTATAGTAGATATCCCATTCTCCCCAGTAGCTCTGGAAAACATAGTCTTGCAGGTGGTAAGACACGATGTTTTTTATTCTCTCGCCGAAGGACATGCAGTCAGTGAGCTCGGACAGGGCTGCGGGCGTGTAGGACGGCGGGGCTGGGATCTTGCCGCAGTGCCTCTCCACGGTGGAGGCTGGGGAGAAGCGCAGCGAGTAAATGAAGGGGATGGCCAGCTTGAGAGCCAGGAGGTCCCCGCAGAGGGTCACCGGGTCTGACAGCAGCATGTCATAGCTAGACCCCTGCAGGTGGGCCATCAGCTCTCGGTTGGTTAGCACAGCATCGCACATTAGCCTGTTCATATGGTGCCAGTTTTTGGACAGTTTTCCCAGCTCCTTGTAAAACTGCCAGAAGGTCAAGGTGGTTGGCCTGTTATTCAGCCACAGTGCCACTACATCCTCGATCAGATTCACAATGGCGTCTTTCTTGAAGGGCACATTATAGACCTCGAACTTCTCTGCGGCCTCAGCCCTGGGTTTAATGAAGAGAGAAGCGTTGGATACCAGGATGGTAACGCTGTGCCCGCGGCGGATGAGCTCCTGTATAACTATCTTCACGTTCAGCCAGTGGCTGCCTTCTGTTGGCCAGACCAACACGTTCCCGCAGAAGACAGGCCCTAGAAGAGCGACCTGAAAAAGGAGCAGCTGGAGGTATTTCTTAGAGCTGGGGGCTTTTGTGGCCATGGCAGGGTTAAGGGCTAGATAGCCTGGGAGTTTTCCCTTCCAGTTGGGAGTGCTGCACTTCTGTGTTGTTGTGTTTGATGGCTCTTTACTAGCACTCTTAGTAAAAGCAAGAGTTTGCTGTTGTACAGGTGGGGCCTTTAAAACCCACGTTTGGTCTCAGGTCTGAAAAGACAGAAAAAGATGTTTGGTGATTCACTTTTCCCTTTCTGCCTTCCACCCTGTTATTTTCCCCCTGGGGGAGCTCCTTTCCCTGGTTAGCAGGTTGGCAGCAATCCCCGCTGCTGTCAAGTCTGCCTTCAAGCTACTCCCTTTGCACACGAAGAATTTCATCCTTTTTTTTTAATACCTTTTGTAGTTTTTCTGAGGAATCCTTACCATGAAATAAAAGCAAATAATGGGGTCTCTTCTAGCTGTGTAATTACTATATCAGTAAATGCTGGCAGATTTGCTATAAGTATTAGCAAATTAAGTGGCACTGCTGCCAACACTGGAGAAATACTGAGATTTGCTGGACAATGTATGACCATATCTGATTTTAAAATGCCTGTTTTCAATTACAGCAGCCATGGTATCTGTATACTGTAATGTTTCTATTACTTATGGCAGCAAACCTACCTGTACTTAAAGATATATTTCTCTTATTCTGAGAATTTCCCAGCTTTTTCCACCTTTCTTTCCAGAAGCGGCACAGTGGCTCACTTAGCCAAAAGGCAGCAGTGCTACAGGGAGTGCTTGCTTGAAGATATTGCTAGACTTGGGACAAGAACCCTGGGCAACACAAGGTGGAGGGACACCTATGATGGGGCTAGCAGTGGCAAATTATACCGTAGGCATCCTTAAGTCTCCTCAACCCTTCTACAGCCATGTCCCTGCTGGTAAATAACATGAATTACTGGCTGTCATGCCCCAGCCCCTGCAGAGAGCTGCTGCCTCTCCAGGCTTCACCATTAGTTCAAGTTGGTGCATCTTTACAGAGGAAGAAACTGCATCCAGTCCCCTGGATGCCAGCTCTGATACTCAAAAAAGTCACTTGCATTGCTCCCATGAACTAGTGATGCCAGAGGCAGCCCAAGGAAGGAGAGGCCGCAGGGTACGTTTAAGTGGCTGACTTGGAAGCGGCATCCTTTTTCAGGGTGAGATGTTAGAAGTTCTGATGTTTCCCATGCTGAGAGAAGGCAGCAAATCCTTCATTTGGGTGATGATAATGCCAATAATAACATGTAGCTTGTTCTATTATGTGACAGGTGGTTTCCGACTGCTCCCAGACAACTCAATGCAGGGAGCTGATTGCTACTGTCTGGTTGCGACCTGGTCATGTTGTGGGCTCAGTTCAGGTGTCTAAACATGGGTTTGGGGCCCTCCTGGCTTCTAAAGGTGCTTCTCAGAGCAAAACCCGCATCTTCTGTGGTGGCTCTCACTTGGAAAGTTGGCGCTTGAATGTAAGGCGCTATGTCCTGGAAGGAGCTCTTAACCACCAGGAGCCAAAATGACAGCTAAAACCCATGCATGTAATGATACGCTCAATCCACCACAATTTGGGGAACAAATGCCATGCAGCAAGAAACTCTTACCTAGCAGAGTCTTCCAAGGTACGTAAGCATCGTGCTCCGAGTTGCAAGGTGCAGTTTGCTATGCCGGTTTGCTTCTGTTTCTTGCTGCTCACCTTCTTTGTGCTTGGGCTGCTCTGGCGAGGTTGGGTATCGGGCAGGAGGAGCTTAAATAAGCTACCCTCTGAGCTGGGCTTTTCAAAAGAAGGAAGTAATACAATATGGGATGATCACAACAAGGTGTGTATTCTGAGATTATTCATTGCTTTGTTATGTTCCAGTAATTTAATAGTTGAGAAGGTCTTCCCCATGCTAGGGTATATTATAATGTTATTATAGAGCCAGATTCTCACAAGGACTTTGCATCCTGTAGCTCAGAAATATGATGTCTGACTGCTAAAAAGATTTTTCACTCCCTTTAGGGTCCCAGCTGGCAAAACAAAATTGTTTGTTAAGTAATAGACTTGTTCATAAACTGTCCACAGGAACAAAGAGAAAATCTTGTGGCTTGTTTGCGGAGTTTTTCAAAAGTTGGTATGTTACCTATGCTGGGTGTGTGGCCCTTGATTCTGGAGATCTAGGCAAGTTTTTAATGACTTGAAAATATAGGAACCTAAAGATGCACCCTCATGGTTTTTAAATACTGTATATTTAAATTTTAATTTAATATTTTAAATACTGTAATATTCAGCCTGACTTTTTCTAAACCTTCAGAATTCAGGACCATTATGCCAGCATATTTCAACAGCAATTTGGCCTTACAGCCAGGAGTTTCACTACGATCTCTTCATAGACCTTTGTATTCAGGATAATATCTTTTTTCAGGCTAATTTAGCTTATTTGGGAAAGTCCTGTAAGAAACTTAAAGCTTTTCCAACAACTATTGAAAGGCCACATTCACGTGGGCTAGGGCAGATGGGAACTTGGGTTTTGTTTCTAACCCCTCAGTAACTAATTCCTCTGCAATAGCAAATGAGAGCTATTACTAGGGGAACCAGAGGGTTAAATTTGTCTTGTTTCCATGGCCAGCTTTTAAAGACGATACTCAGATTACTCTTAATGCAGAGAAGATAAGCATTCTGAGAGGATTAAAGGACAAAATCCAGCAAATGAGAGAAAAGCGGGGCTGAAGAAAGTAGATGGTGTTAAGTGTCTGTATTTCACAATCTAGCATTACTAAGTAGAAGTGCTGCAGACACTGATGCAACCTCCCGCCTTGTTAAATAACGACAGGCGTTTCTAGGAGAAGGTGGGTTATGCAAAAGTTAGGCAATACAAACTAGTGTCTTGCACATACGGGTCTCTTCACCATTTTGCTGAATGGGGGTTACGGTGTACATGGCACCTTTATTTCTAGAAAACCTTGATGCCAGCCAGCACCTCAAAAATGCAGTGCCGGGGTAGAAAAGGGAAGCTTTTGCCCTGAGAAGCACCAAATTACTGTGGTTTTCCTTTCACTTACTGCAATAAAAGGCTTCTGGACTGAAAGCAGACTTGAAAGTCTTGACTATCTTTTTTTTGGGGGGGGAGGGAGGGAGGCTGGGTGGGGAAAATATCAAGGTTGGCTCATCCCTGAGTACAGATAGAAATGAGTGGATTGAGCAATGTGCAAGTCCTCAGCAAAATGCTCACTCCCATGTAATCCCCAGGGGTAACAGGGAAACTCCAGCAACAGTTGATGAGCTGAAATAGCCTTACCATAACCACCTTTCTCAGCTAAATTGTATCTTTATACCTCTACCTTGCAGCTGTAGGACAAAAATAGCACGGGCTAGGTTTATAACCTTTCACTTGTTTTTATTGATTCAGTTTAAGATTTTATGAACTCTCTTCACTGCTGTTGCAGGGGCACCTTGGCATGTAAACATATAGACACCGGGGTGGCTTGCACTGAAGCCATTTCCCCTCTGCAAAGCCGAAAAAAAAAAAAGAAATGAGAGAAGGTCCAGGCCAAGCTTTGTGTCCCTGCTAGGAACTGTGCATTTTTGGTGGAGAAGGCACTGCGTTCATATCAAGGGATTCATACTCCTGGTTTTACAAGGGTGTTTACAAGGGAGCTGCACTCATCCTGCCCTGATTTGCTAGATGGTGCTTTTAAGGGCAAAGTTACTTCTGCAATCCCTCCTCTGGCCTCATAACCAAATACTTGTTTCTTTCCCGGGGTCTTAGCAGTTTGGGTCTACACAAAACTTCTGGGGCACAGCATTTTAGCCTCCCCTAGCCACCTGTGTTTCATCTCTTCAGCTGGTAACAAGCACTGTAGCTACAGCAGTGAGGGCAGGTGCTGTTAGGATTGCACTTCCTCTTTTTCTCCTTGTTTTCTCCCCACACATCCAGGTAGGTAAGACCTATCTCTGCTGCGATGCCCACCACCCCCACTTTTGTTTGGTTTGTGGTACCTAATGGCCAAACTCCAAGGATTTTGCTGAACGATGGGATTTAGCTCAGTTTTGCTGCCTGTATTCCCGGACAGGTCCCACCTGACTGTCAGTCTCATCCCCGGAGCACAGCGGAGGTGTTTCACATCTGATAGCCCCTGTTTCAGTGCTGGGTTGTGCTTGGCTGTCTCCCTGTCACCTCGCCTGTCCCCCAGGTCGCCGGTCCTTTTTTTTAACGTCTTGGCCTATTTCACCCACTCCTGAGAAAGAAATTGCATCTTCAGAGATACTCCGTGCCTACAAGCAATGAATATTTCCTCCAGGTTGCAGGCCAGTTTGTCTTGCACGTGTACCAAACAGAAGAGAGGATGATGAACACGGGCAGGAGAGGACAGCATCTGAGGAACCGGGACCCAACAACCATCCAACTCGCAGTTTCCTTTTCTTAAATGATTGCAACATAGAACCAGCTATTTTAAAAGCACCAGGTTTTAGCAATGCTGTTCCAGCCCCCTAGCCGCATCATGTGCCACAGTGCAGCAGTGGCACCTTTAGCTTTAAAGTTAGCACCTTTAACCCTTTAGCTGTGTTTTTTCTGGCCACGGTGGGAGGGGGAGCAGCCAAGGGGACCCTTTCCTCTGACCCCCCTGCCCCCCCCCCGCCATACCTGATGGGTGATGTAGTTGCGGGGAGACTGGCACAGCAGAACAGCTTCCAGGTCCCTGGGAGCAGAACAGCACAAAAGCAACCTGCAAAATCCTTCTTTTGCCGCCAGCTTCGTTGCTCCTGGGTGGAAGGATTGGTGCCAAGCTCCCCAGGCTGTCCATCTCCCGGCCACCCTGGGGCTGGTTTTGCCCCCATCCCGCTCACCTTGTCTCTTCCGTGTGGCCCCAGCAGCGAGGCGGGGCATGGCCATCACGGTGCCCTCTCCTGTCCTGTCCCCCCCAAAGCGTGACATCAGCAGGGGGGTTTCTGGGGTAGGAGGCGATGGGTGCGGGACCCCATGTGAGCCCTGGCCACGGTAGAGATGCGCATGTGGAAGCTGCTAACAACTTTTATTTGTCACGTGCTGGAA